ACTAGCAGCTGGATACGAACAGGTGAATTTACGCAGCTCATTTGCACACTTTTCCTGAAGATAGAAGAGTTTGATGAATCTGACGTGACATGTTCGTACGAACCCTTTGTACGAACAAAAGTAAGAGAAATTTAGGATAAGAATACGAACATGTTGTTGCATGAGGCCCAATGTTTTCTGAAGCAGTTCTTGATTCCTCTGTGTCAATCATTTGTCCTCTAACAGCACAGTTTGTCACGGCACATATTAATTTTATCTTGTTCTCCCAGGTTCGGAGACAGCATATGGATCGCTGCACCAACTTTCTAGTGGATGAGTTGGGTGTGGTGGACCGAGCCCAGGCCAGCGATCGCATCTTCTTTGTCTCTGCTAAAGAAGTTCTTCAGGCTCGGGTGCAGAAATCCCAAGGAATGCCAGAAGCAGGTGGAATTGGGCTTATATTTGTTTCTGTCCGCTGACTTGAAAAAAAATGTTTTAGTTTGCAATTTGCAAAACCATTTGAAAATTCGGTTTTGGTTTGTTTTTTAAGTGACATACTGTTCACAGCAGAGGAAAATGCTACAATAGGCCAAACAGAAAGACCAACATTATAAAGAGAACTCATTCACAGGTTTCATCTTTTTAGCTTTAAATCCACAACAACTCACACCGTGTGAGTGAAACATCTCGCATGCTGAGCAGGTTAAGACCCTAGTGACCCTAGTTAGAAAAGAGGGGATCCACACTARGGATGGACAGTGTTTTTTTTTTWAAATATTCAAAGTCAAGTTAAAATGGACACATTGAACAGATTAATAACCGTCATGGATTAGCATGGATTAGACATGGCAGGTGTTGTGTTGATGTAAACCAACCAACTTTGCACTGTGCAAGTGAAAAACAAAGTTGTTTTTTTTCTTTTCCGAAGACAAAGTTTGCAATGAGCGCACACTTCTTTAGCCTGCTGCACCGTGTGTAGATAGTGGGTCAGCGAGGGACTTGTATGTATAACAAAGCTGTACCAGACCTAGGGATGGTGTTGAAATTTCAAAGAAAATTTAAACAATTACCACATGAACTCCAATAGTGTTTTTGCCTAAAATGCACATCCTTATTTGACACTTCACTTTTAATTAGTATTTGTATTGTACTGTCTATCAGACCGTGAAGAAATGCATGTCACAACAAYAAATTATTATTTTGATAAAATAGGAAGTTTTAGAGAAAATTTGGGTCTCCTTTGGAGAACTCTAATTCTTGTTTATTTAAAATAAACATACAATTTTCCTCTCAACCACTGYGGAAATAGTTTGTTTGTTTTAAAGCCTTTTCCCCAGTAAAACAGTGGAGGAAACTCTGATAAAGCCCTTCACATTCACCTGACCTAGGGTAACATAATTTCTGACAAAGTAATCAGCTGTAATATTAGACATGGTAAAGAACGATGTTACCACAGACATTTGGTGAGGCTTTTTTGTTCAATCAGCCAACATTGAGGCGATGAAGACTCACAATGAGTCGAACATCAGTTCATTAAAGATATTTTGAAAACAATCATGGAGAAACAGAAGTTAAAGCTCAAGTCTTCTGTAACCAAGGGAAGAATACAACAGTACAATAAATTAATGCTGCCCTATAACTTACAATAGATACTTAAAAACTTAAACCAGTGTCAATTCCAAGCAATAACAAAACGGGTCTTTAATAAGACAGTATTGTTTTTGTGTTTCAGGTGGAGCGCTTGCTGAAGGATTTCAAGCCAGAATGTTTGAGTTCCAGAACTTTGAGAGGAGATTTGAAGTAAGATCTTTKTTTATGTGGAGTGATGTAAAAATTCATCTTTCCTGTCATATTGGTAGCATCTGATATTCTCAAATAACGGACAGCTCACGTTACATCTGTACTCTAGCTAAGTACAATTATTGCATGTTCCATGTGTAGACACTAGGGATGAGCGAGTACAGCACTATCTGTATCTGTATCTGTTCAGCCATCTAAATTATCTGTATCTGTAGCTGTACTCTTAAGGGCTCGACACACGGGAGGCGACGTCGCTCGCTCTCCATTCATTTCCTATGGAGCCTGTTTGGTGAGGCAACAATCG